TTCGCTCAGCGATGGCCCCTATGGGGATTTTTTGCTTTGCGATATTCACTAAGCGTTTCGCTTAGCGAACATCGCATAACGAAGCCGGGAGATCGGTGATCGGCGGTTCCAAAATGGCCGCCGGAAGGTCCGCGCCGCATTTTCGCGCCCTGCCCTCGCTTACCGAGGGCGCGAAAATGGCGCGCTATGGGACAACATCGCTTCACTGTGAGTTTTAAAGCCATAGGAACGCATTGAACGAAGTTCAATGCGTTTCTATGGCTTTTTTATTCCCGTTTAGCGATGTTTTCGCATAGCGAAGGTTAATCCGGAACGGATTAACCTCACTATGCGAGGCACCACTGTACTTCCATTTTGTGGTTCCTAGCTCAACACACAGATTCAGGTACAGTACAAATCTCAGTACAACCGTGGACTCCGATGGGTACACCTGACCAGGCGGTTATCTCTCAGCCTCGTTTTCCCCTTTATTACATCAAAATAGCAGTAGCCTAACTCACTAGGTAGCTGTGAGGTAGACACCCTAGTTCCATCCATGCTTCTTGGGATGTCCCATTAATTTGATAGTGGTAGCTTTATTCTCAGATTTGGAGGGACCTCAGTGTGCATTTTAATTTGACCCACCCTCCTCCTCCTCCTCCTCCTCCTCACTGCATCACTGTCACTGGAATGCAGTGGCGACGTGGCTCCCTTTATGCTTAGGATGGATGCCTGAATGCTCCAGGAAAGTGCAGCCCTTCAGGTATCACTGGACTACTATTTCCATCATTCTTCACCATTGGCAAATCTATCGGGAATAACTACTTCATGAGAACTGGAGAGAAGTGCTGGGTAGCTCTGTGGTTTAGGTCTCCAGCTGCAGAGCCAGAAGGCTGGGAGTTCAATTCTGCACTGGGTCTCCCTGACAGAGGCTGGACGTGATGATCCATAGGGTCCCTTCCAGCTCTGCAGCTCCAAGGCGTCTAAGATTTCATCCAACCGTGTATGGAATTCCACTGTTTTTCCAGCTTTTGCTGTAAGGGTGTCTCCAGACAGACAGCTCTTAGAGCTATCAATCAGAAGACCCTGGGAAGCTGTTTTGTCTTTTCCACCCTTAACATTTTCCCTGTGGTGAGAAAAAAGGGAAAAGGGGAAACTGAGAGGGTTATCAATGGAAGATAGCATCATATGGATCCCCTGAAAAATCCCCATCAATGAGGCAGGATAATTGCACAGTAATTTCCTCATCTAGAAGCATCCAAAGGTTAAAGTATTTTGCTATATTGTATATGTATTTTTAAAATATATATATTTGCTAATATACCTTCTGAATAACAGCACCATATTATCAAAGATAGGCAAATGGCACCACCTCCTGACACAAAGTTCAAAGAGCAGGAGGGAATAAAGAATGGAGAGCAAGTGCAGGTGATGAAAACATGGAGTGGATTTAAGTTTCATGTGCAATTAGGAATCCTGCACTTACCTTGAAAAGCACAGATTTGTCCCACTTAGAGTGAGGAAGGAAGGAAAGGAAAGGAAAGAAAGGGATCATAGTGGATGAAGAGATTCCAGATAACAGAAGCGAGAAGAAAAGTCCTTACACAAGCCTACCTATTATGATGATTATAAGAGATAAATGTATTATTAACAACATTTGAAAGAATACACAGTAAGGAATCGCCATTACTCCTCCCCCTCCCCCTTTCTTCTGAGAGTAAGTTTCTACGCCTTATAGTTCTGGAGGCAAGTCATCCCCCGATGATTGTTCCTTCAGTTTTCTGCACCTTCCTTCTCCACCCCACCATCTAGGTTGCTGGGTTAAGGAAAACCAACCCGGTGATTCTCCAGCCTGTGAGCCTCAAGCCATTCCTCGCGTGTCAGTGTTGTCCTGCATGTGCTGCTCTGATCTATGTAATGCTAACATCAGCTATATTGTGTCTGGAAGGAGGCAAGGTAAGAGTTCTGTGGGATCAAGGTGATGAACTACAGCATGGAATGAATGACCCAAATGGACAGATTGAGAGTGAATGATGATGTGGAAAGAGGGAGGCCCTCCAGAACTTGCTGGTTTATAAAACCCACCCTCTTCATTGGCTATGGGGCTGGGGCTGATAGGCTCTGGAGCTCAACAGCCTCTAGAAGGCCACAGGCTCCCTATCCTCTTAGAGATTCAGGAGCAAACTAGCAAACTCGTTCCCTCCAAATATTTTAGACTACAGTTTCTATCATCCCTGGCTATCTATCACACTTGCTGGAGTTTATGAGAGTCAGACCAGTGTTTCCCAACCTGGAGGTCATTACCCCCAAGAGAGTCACAAAGGGCCTTCTAGGGAGTGGTGGGTTCTGAGTCAGCCTGATAACAGGACTGGAGTAGAGGGCGGGTTGTACCCAAAGGTTGCAATGAAGACTGTGTTACTTTTAGCATCAACACATAGGTATTTCTCACCTTCCTTCAAGGGTTCTCCCGATTTTATCTTCCCAACGGTCCTGTAGAATAGGTTAGGCTGAAAGAGAGTAACTGACTCAAGGCCGGCCAGTGCATTTTTGTGGTTGAAAGTACTGTAAATTTTAACCCATCTCCCCAAGTTGTGCATTACTCTAGCTTTTCTGAGGGCAAACAGTTTGCTGACATGACATCTCTATAGGCCAATGAATGAGGAAAATGATTTATAATTTTCCTTGGAGAAGTTAGACAAATATTATTATTAGCTTTGAGAAAGGAAGACTGAGGGGGATATGATAGGATTTTTCGAATACTTGAAAGGTAGTCATACAGAGGAGGGACAGGATCTGTTCCTAATCATCCCAGAGTGCAGGATGCATATTAATTAATAGGCTGAAGCTAGAGGAAGCCAGATTTAGGCTGAATATTAGGAAAAACCTCTTAACTGTTAGAGCTGTATGATAGTGGGACCAATTACATCAGAAGGTGATGAGCACTCGAACACTGGAGGCATTCAAGAGAAAATTGGACAACCATCTGTCATATTTGATCTGGATACCTGTGCTGAGCAGGGGGTTGGACTCAATGGCCTTAGAGGCCCCTTCCAACTCAGTTATTCTATGATAATCCCACCCTCTTTCAGGAATACACAACCCAGCCCTTCAGAAATAGATGATCTTAGAACTGCATTGCTGGAAGGGACCCTCGTGATCTTCAAGTCCAGCCCTTGTCAGGGAGGCACAGTAAGGGAATGAATCTCCCAGCCACTGGCCCCACAGCCAGAGACCTCAACTATTGAGCTATCATAACAGTTAGATGATGTCAACAAATCAGGCATTAAAGCTGTGAAATTTATGAAGGTAACAGACCAGGCCAAATTTACCATTTATTCAGCATATACTGTCTTTTGGCAGTGCAGCAAGCAAACCATAATCCCTATTACAATAGCAGAGGGAGGGAGAAATAAAAGGTGAATGTGTGCAAATCCAGTTCTACAGGTGTGTCCTGTGACTTCTCAGAATGAATTACTGTATCCAGAAATCAACAGCAGGCATTATCAGCTCGGGTCTCCCTTTTTCCTTCCTTTTCTTGTTTATTATTACAGATCTTCCCAAGCCAGCTGTAATGAATCTTGCAGTGGGGGAAAAGAAGGTGGCGGGAGGTTCCTATTAACCTTGGCCATAGAGCCCTCCCTTCCTCCTCTCCAGAAAACCCTTGCCAGTCACCCGCCCCTACTGCGTCCTGCATCCTGACAGCTTCGTTAGCCCTCTGCTACCAAGATTACAAAGCAGGGAGACCGTTTTACTATCACTGGACAAAGATAGCAAAACAGATGTCCCAACATTGTTCCAGCCCCCTTTTGGCTCTAGATCAAAGTCAAGGAGAGAGAGAAAGAAAGAAAGAAAGAAAGAAAGAAAGAAAGAAAGAAAGAAAGAAAGAAAGAAAGAAAGAAAGAAAGAGAGTGCCCAAGGCTTGAGGCCAAGTGGCTTGGAAACATGGACAGCTCACTTCGCGGGAAATGGGTTGCAAAATTTTATCTCTCTCCTGCTTGAAAGCCTGGAATTCATTGTAGCAAGTTCTCCCATGATGGTGTGGATCTGATGGCTGCCTCCCCTTATCTCTGCAGTTGAGTTGTTGCCGCACCCCAGCCGGGCCACCTGGATTCTCGCAGCCTGCCTTGTTTTGCTGTTCCTGGCTTGCCTGGTGTTTCTAGGTATTGTGGCTTCAGTGAAAACTCTGATGTGAAACATTTAGAATAAGAGTTGCCCGTATCATGCTTGCTGTTGGGGAAAAGGTGAGCAAAGGCACATCTGTCGCCTTGGGACAAAGAGCAACCATGGTGGTGTCTCCTCTTGCTTGCCTTTAGTTGGAAAAGCTCACAGGCACAGAGGTGGGGCCAGGAGCTGGTGTTGCTGGGTATCTACCAAAGTTCATACCTGGGAAACGGCCCGTGGCCAATTTCAGTCTTGCTGTTCTTCCACTCTTGCTACCTCTTCACCTGTCCCCCTGCAAGCATGTAAACAGTGACCCAGTTTACATGGCCATCTTCTTCTGGTCCCCGACAGGTCCTGATGGAGATGGTTGTGACACTGGGTGAGCAAGAAAGAAGGGAGGAGAGCTTAGAATGCCTGCTAGGGTTGCCAGGTGGCGGGGTACCGCTGGCTGCAGGCTTGAGGGATTCACAGGCGTCCCCATGTCTCCTGGCAGGGAGAACAATCTCAGGTCAAGCAGCAGCGGAAGAAGTAACCTTGGTTTTTGTGGGTGGGCGAGGTGGCTCTCTTCTTTCATTTCTTGCCCACTCCAGGGCTCATGTGATTTTGTACTAGGACATGGATGTGGCTGTTGCTCCAAAGGGCATGTTTCCCATCAACTCTTCCCTCCGTCCTGGCCTTTTGTCATGCTGATGTTGAGCTTGGGACGCAGAAGCCTTCTTGTTGGCAATAGCTTGCAAAATCCGAAAACATGCCCTGGCCCAACACTTGCCTGCCTGCCCGCCTGCCTCTGTGACATCACAAAGCTCCTTCCTCCGACTTCAGGTTTCGGCCCTGGAATCTCAGGAAACGAATACAGCTGACCTGGCAACCCTGGATGCAGAAGCTGGATCGCTTTGGAATATGTGTTGCTTCAAGGGCAAATACCTTTTTCTCTTGTAGCAGTTCTGAAGCGCTGGAAAATCCCCGCAGCACAACTCAGCTCTGAAGCCACATTGGAGCTCACCGAGGTCACCTCAGCCCTGGAACCAAAAGGCAGGAGGGAACTGCCCAAGCAGGAACTTCCAGACCTTCAGTTCCTCAAGGTATCCCTCTGGTTAAGGGAAGATTTGTGGATTCACTTAAAGAATCACCATAGATTGTTTTATCCTTCATAGCAGAACATGAAATGGTTATTGTGGTTTTAAAATCATCTAGCTATGCAGCCGAAAAAAAAATTAGGAACCTACAGAGCAGAAATAGTTTCACGTCTCCCCACAGTATACCATCCATTGTTTTCATCAACTAGCACTTCTAGTCTTGCTACTGATCCAGTCGTCTTTGAGTGTCATTAACACACTCAAAGACATTGGTAAAGGAAAGAATAAAAAGCTCAGTTTACTCACAGTTATGAGTAGATACAAACAGCATACTGTAGAAAAATAATGACTGGTTACATCAACAGAGCTTACCTGACTAACTACATGACTACATAGCTAAATATTGACTACATGGTGACTAACTTCCCAGTGATTGGAAAAAAAAGAGCAGGAAAATAATTTGTAAGTCTAGAGGTGTGGATCTCTTCAAAACTGAAGCAGAGGGGAAATAATCAATTACTGCTGGATGTATGGACAGTTATCCCAGCCCAGAAGGTCCCTCCAAGCCAGAAGCCTCTTAATAGTAACATACAAGGGTTGCAATAATTCTTACAATCCTGTCTCTCAAATATGTGAAAACTCTAGCCAGAAGCTGTGTTGCTCATGTGCAAATTCCCTTCCTTCTGTTGACAAGAAAACAGCTTTCCAAAGGGAAAAATGATAGCCAGTTTTCTTGGGAGGTTTGTACCTACAAGTGCAGGTGTCTGGTTCTAAACAGTTAGTCTAATGCCACCCCCTCCCATTCCCTGCTAGTACTGTCGGTCAACATGAAGGCATGATTGTTGCGTTTGCACAACATCAGAATAGTAAGAAACAAGGAGAAGACACAGGTAGAGAGATGGTGGACGCATTCCCTAGGCCAGTGGTCCCCAACCTTTTTAATGTCAGGGACCGGTTTTGTTGACGACCATTCTTCCAAGGACCGGGGGGGGGGCTGCCACCGCCAGCATCTGTGAATGGGGGGCATGGGAGTACTTTTTATGCAGTAGAATGTTATGCCATCATTTAAAGTGTCTCTGAGGAATCCCAAATAAAGATCAGCTGTGCTAGTAGGTCTTACCTGACATTTTCTTAGTCACATCCTACAGCAGAAGCCATGGTCCACAGAGAGCTTTCAAAGCATCAGAGGGATCTCATTGTTTAAAAGGTATCAGTCAGGAGAAGGGTATAAAAGAATGTCCAAGGCATTAGATGTGCCATGGAACACAATGAAGACAGTGTCATCATCAAGTGGATAAAAGATGGCACAACAGTGACATTACCAAGAACTGGACGTCCCTGTAAAAGTGATGAAAAGACTAGAAGAAAATTGGTCAGGTGAGGGAGGCTGCCAAGAGGCCTACAGCAACATTAAAGGAGCTGCAGGAATATCTGGCAAATCCTGGCTGTGTGGTACATGTGATGACAATCTCCCATATTCTTCT